TTAAATTTTGCACAATATTACTATTACACAATAATACTATATATACACATTACTTTTACTGTATTTTTGATCAAATAAATGTAGCCTTCGTGAGCACAAGAAAAATAGTTAAAAAAACATTTAAAAATATTTATATTTGTATTGATGTTTGTTTATTTTCATATTTTTCTCTATAAATATTAAGTGAGGGGTCGTAAGCAATAAATACCAAAATAACATGCATGCTTAATCTTAATATCTATCTGCATACTACCTATCCTAAAAATATGCAGAATTAAGCCTTTTTATTACATTTAGTATAGTGTTTTGTGTGTGTGTGTGTATTTTTGTATGTAACTGTTTATATATTTAACACCTCTTCCAATAGCCCTCCAAAATACAGTCTGATCCACCTTGTACCACATGACCTAGACGAGCATCCTCAGCTCTCTAGCGCCTCCCACCTGTGGATTGACTCCCTGGACTCCCTCTTATATCCCTGAGTGCCTCATTCATGCTCCACGTTCTCCAGCAAGTCTCATACACACCCACCCACACACACACACCATCAGGCCTCAATCCACCCCCTGCGGTCTGCTGTAGCAGTCGGACCAGGTAGCACCAGCCTCTCAGAACCATGAATGCACAGCGGCTCCCTGAGTGCTGCTTTTGTGTCCTGTTTTCCCCAAGAGGCTCAGCAGCGCTGCAGGAGAAGATCTCCAGTTATTCTGCTGCTGCCGATTGCATCTGAGCAGGGATGCAGGGCTGCATTCCTGAGGCTTGGAGCGCAGGAGGTTGCGGAGAGCGAGTGTTTTGGTGTAAACAACGTTGTGGGGACTGCCATGATGGCGTTGGGTCGTATCTCATCCAGTGGCTGTGTTCTCTGACATTTTATGGACAGCTGGAGAGAGATGAATGAGGCGTTCACCTCTGCGTAGGTGTTATGTGTGGTGCTAATTACACGTAGACACTTGATGTTGGTTTATGCTGTAATAATAACTGATGTTCACTTTTTTTAATTATTTATGGAGGCAGTAGAGAGGTCAGGAAATAATAGGGAGGAGAGGAGACCTTAAAGTCTAAATGCTTTCAAAAAGTGTGTGTATATGACACAAGTCAGATTCAAACCCACTTTGTTCAGAAGTGTGTGTGTGTGTGTGTGTGTCAGTAAGAATTTTTTTTTTTGGCTAATGGTCACCAAGACTGCATTTGAAACTGATATTATGAAATACTACAGTTTAAATTTTATTACAGTTTACAATTGAATTTTCAACAGCCATTACTCTAGTCTTCAGTGTCACATGATCCTTCAGAAGTCATTCAGATATTCTAATAATAATAAACTTTTTTTGAAATTATTATTATCAATATTGGGAAAAAGTTTTTCTCCTTAATTTTTGTGGAAGCTGACAGATCAATTTAATGCATCCTTGCTGAATAAAAGTATTGATTTCTTTAAAAAAAAAATACTGAACCCAAACCTCCTTTGTGTGTGTGTGTGTGTGTGTGTGTGTGTGTCCTCAGGGTCCAGCCCAGGCACAGAGCTGTCTTTGTCAGCCTAATTACCCCGCCTCTCCCCTTCTGCCGCTGCAGGGCCTCCACCACCACTCCCTGCCTGTGCTCCAAACCAAAGACACAACCTTCATATCACATTCACACACACACACACCTGCGAGTGTGCTGTTGTCGAGTTATCATGCACACTGAGGGCCAGTGGATCCAGATGTTCCCACATTAACACAACCCTCACCTCCGGCACTCCAGGCTCTGCCAAAGCAGATGAGCCAGGCCTGGTCTTTTGGATGCAGGGGTGATTTTTATCTGGTTTTGCAGCAGGCAGTCTGCCCTGGCCCGCAGGAGAGCACAAAGATCGCTTCAGGAAAGAGATACCTTGGCTATCTGCGCTACCTGTGTACACGCTGCAGATTAACCTTGCGAGTCTAATGAAGCCTGTCTAAAGCGCACTTCGGCCGGGCTTTAAAGCGCTCTGCTGAGAGGAAAATCTGCCACTCCTGGCTGCTTGCCAGCACGCTAAAAACGAGGAAACCGAATCCCGTTGAAGGTACGGCTTTGTTTGCGGTGACAGACGCAGGAATAGTGTCCGCGACCGTTCTTGCAAGAAAAAAACGCCATGGTGAATGTTTATTTGAAGTGACAAGTCAGAAACGGCACAAAACAGACTCATTCCACAGGGCTGACATTAACACACCATAAACTGAACTCCCAGAATATCTCAGAACCTCACAATACTACACAACTGTGGTCCTCAAATGAAAAAAGCTCTCTGTAATATACCTCAAGAAATATTAATGTCTTCGATTTGACATAACGTGTCCGTCTTCTTGGCCCCCAGGGTGCAAAAGCTTGTTTCCTGAGAGACATCCCCTTCTCGGCCATCTACTTTCCCTGCTACGCACATACCAAGGCGGCCCTGACTGATGAAGACGGGCGAGTGGGACCTGGCAGGCTTTTGCTGGCAGGGGCGCTGGGGGGTAAGCCACCACGCACTCTCCGGTAGCCGCCTGCCACCGCTGGCTCCATTGTGGTTGGCCGTAATTAGAGTGCTCAGTGATTTAGGCTGTGTTTTGAAGTGCAGCGCGCCTGCCAAGGGTCGAATATTTTCCACTGTTTAATATATAGAGGCTGGAAGTTTGTGCTTTGAGCTTTGAGAGTGTTAAAAGAGGGAAAAAAAATCTCAAAGTCCCAAAGTAGCCATACTGCAGGAGCAATAAACAGATCCTACGATACTGGCATGACCAGGCCAACACATCCAAGATCTGACTTGCAATATTTTTACAAGTCTCTCTTTCCTCGTCACGTATAAAATACGATCCAGATCTGAAGTTGTTTTTAATATTTTACTCTTGCGGTTCATCTTTAAGAAAACATTGTTTAAAAAGACGATGTCTTTAGCCAAGCCAGTATGGTTTGGAATGTAAGTCAAAGAGAATTAATATTTATTTCTAATCCTTTTTGCCTTTTCAGATTTACTGCTTCTTGACTTGAGCGTGATATGAGATTGAAAAGCCATACATGGTCAGAGAGAGCTTAGCATTCCTGTCTTCCCCAATGTTTTATATCTGTCAGATGGTTTAAAGCAAGTTTTTATGGTTAGGTATGTTCTTATGGCATGTATCACTCAGTTTACCATTTATCAGCAATTCGAGCTTCAAGGCAATTAGTGATTTACAGTCAGTTCAGGAAATGTAATTACACGCTCAGTTTGTGTGCCATTATTGGTAGGCAGGCAGACTTCTGGGGCACTGACCAACAGTACAGTTGGCCTTTTCCCTTACTCATGCCTCTTCTTGAGGAAATGGATGGTTGTATGTATTACATTTTAATGTAGTTTTTATTCTATATCTGTAATCTTTAATTTCATATATTTCAGTTTTCTAGTTTTTAATTGTAGTATTTTTAGCCTGCGTTAAAGTTAATGCGCCAACAGGTGTAAATTAAAATTGTTTAACAACATTATATTTCTTACTATGAAAATGTTTCATTTTAGATTTTGCTAATGATAATAACACTAATGCTAATGATATTTTATGTTCTTTGTGTTTAATAATGAATGTTTTGTCCATCGGAGCAGGTCAACAGAGAGAAAGGCTTGTAATTATTCAGATGAAGTCTTTTATTTAGATGTTTAAATAAAGCTCTTGAACATGCGGTGGTGTCGGCGTGCTGGCGGTGAACCTGCTCAGGATAAATGCTATCGTTGATTTAGGCTATTAAGAGCTGAATTGGTGCCACAGTGGCCTTTGTGCCGGACAGCGTGGGACAGGGCTTATGCCAGCCTCATTATTAAGCATTGTCTGGACCTTTAAATAAAAAAGGATGCATACCATTTGATAAATGGTGCTTTCTGCTTGAGATATTTATAATATTTGATAAAATAGGCTTTTGGTGTTTATTTGACTGAACTAATTCTTGACACACTGTGCATTAATCATAGATGGAGTCACAATGTTTAAATACGCTAATGTTTTAATCCTGGCCTGAAAACTGAATTGAATTTTATTCACGAATCTATTATATTCAGATATGATGTCTGAATCCTTTGTTATTACTTCAGTGTTCTAATGAATTTAAATCAGACTCTTTATTGACGTGTGACTTCTCTTTAGGCATGCCTGCCGCATCCCTGGTGACCCCTGCTGATGTTATCAAGACCCGGTTACAAGTGGCTGCCCGTGCAGGCCAGACCACGTACAATGGACTCATTGACTGTTTCTGGAAGATTCTTCGGGAGGAGGGGCCTCGTGCCTTCTGGAAAGGAGCTGAAGGTATATCTTGCAGACGTACCTGAAACTAGTCGTGCTAATATTTTTTGCTACCAGCGATTTTGCAGTCGACCTTATATTTTAAAGGGTCAGTTCAGCCAAAAATAAGAATTTCGTCATCATTTACCCCTTTCCAACTTTCCACAAAAAGTTGTAGTTCTAAAATGGCATTGAATCAAATATGTGACCCTGGTCTTAAGTCGCTGGGGTATATTTGTAGCAATAGCCAAAAATACATTGTATGGGTCAAAATGATAGATTTTTCTTTTATGCCAAAAATCATTAGGATATTAAGTAAAAATCATGTTCCATGAAGATATTTTGTAAATTTCCTACTGTAGATATATTAAAACTTAATTTTTGATTAGTAATATGCATTGCTAAGAACTTCATTTGGACAACTTTAAAGGCGATTTTCTCAGTATTTTGATTTTTTTGCTCCCTCAGATTCCAGATTTTCAAATAGCTGTATCTCGGCCAAATATTGTCATATCCTAACAAACCATACATCAATGGAAAGCTTATTTATTCAGCTTTTATACATCAGATGATGTATCAATCTCAATTAAAAAAAAAAATTTGACCCTTATGACTGGTTTTGTGGTCCAGGGTCACATATGGTGTGTCAGGACGTGTCACAGTTGGTTTGATGCCAGTGATGGGACATTGTTGACATCAGTCACTTCTTGACACGCCACATTTGAATTGAACTTGAGCCCAAATTTGAGACCTACCCTAGAGGGGAAGATTTTCAGTGAATAATCATTTAAATTTCATTCAGTTCCTCAGAGAAAACTATGACCATACGACTTCAGAAGACTTGAAATATAGTGCAAACATCGTATGGACAACTTTTGTTTCTCTTTTACGATGATTTTTTAAAATTTCATTTTCATTTTTGGAGCTTGACAGACTCACTTAGGACCACTTTGGGCTGCATTTCCCAAAAGCATCATAAGCCTTACTTATGTAGATCATAGGACCATTGCCACCAGTGGCCTCTACGCTCAACTTAGCTCACACTGCTTTTGAGAAACGCAGCCGTGGACTTTCTGTGATTGCTTTTGGGAAATTTTCTCCTTTTGTTGAGTGAAAGTCACACAGGAGCTGGGTTCACAAAACATTCGCAATAATACAATTCTTCTTAACTCTGTTCTAACTTAAGAATAAAGAATAAGAATATTTTGCATTTCAAAAAATAGTTCTTAAGTATGTTCTTATCTTTTTTCTTAAGATCTTTCCAAAGACAAAACTCCTGAAAAGAAGGTTCTTTAAGAAACAAAAATACTGTTAGTGCTTAGTAGCATTATTACGGTAATCTGCAGGCAGCACAAAAGACGGCCTTTGAGGTGTTTTTTCATAGTGTTGATCAGCGAGGCTTACAGTGTGATAACACCAAAACCTGTCATTGTCGTCTCATGGATGTTTTTAAGAAAATATTTGAGAACTTTTGAAATTTTCAAGAATTGCACTTAGAAACATTCTTAAGAGCTTCTTAGAATTGATCTATCCAGGTTTGGATCAACAATAGGGTGAACACATAATTTTGGGGGGAATAATGGTGTGTTGTAGCATGCCTTTATATCCTTCTACTAAGTCAGTTTAAAAAAAAAATCTAAAATCTATACAGACTGCATGCTGATGCTTAATTTTAATGTTTTTTTTTTTCTCCCTCAGCACGCGTGTTTTGCTCCTCACCTCAGTTTGGAGTGACTCTAGTGACCTATGAGCTCCTGCAGAGGTGGTTCTACATAGACTTTGGTGGACAGTAAGACTCTCACACATCCTAAAACTTTGAAATAGTTTAGTAACACTTTCTTTAGAATTCTTCCATTAGTAAAAAAAAAAAAAAAAAGATCTGGGTGTGATTGTGAAAAGCACTGAAATGTCAGATGCCCTGAAATTTCATTAATAGCTGTTTAGAAGGGGCTGGCTTTGTAGCAAAGGTTCTCATTTCGACGGGCACTTTGTTACAGCTGAGGCAGGAAGGCCTAATTACTACACAAGAAAGCTCTGAACGCCTGGACTGAAAGCTGTTTGCCGTGGCATCTTTATCTCTCCTGCTGAAGCGAAAAACACCCTCGCTTTATGATTTCGAAAGGGTCAGCTGACTCACTGAAGCCTGGAGGTGACATTTCTAAAAATGCTCTTCCATAGCCACATGGCTCCATGTGTCCAAGTGATTTGAGGTGGGGAGAATTGCTTTGACTGGAGTCTGTTCCAGTTCTGGACAGAATGACCTTATTTTCCCGTGGAATATTGTGCTGTCCTGAAACCTAGAAACCACAGGCACATATAAAAGAACATGGTATATATACAAATCTGTGTGTGGATTTGTTTTTAATACCTGTTTATATATTGATTCATGTGGCTCAGTTAGCGCTTTAATAAATATGTGCTGTCATATAGAAAAGTGTACTGGAGATAAACAGCCTGACTGAATTGTGAAAACCTTTTTTTTGCCTTTTTCAAAACCTTTCCATTTAGGATACAGATGGTATTTTATGACATTTTATGACATCAGTTTAAATGAAATCATACAATTATGTAGCTCAGGTCTGAAACTTTTATGTGAAAAAGAGACCGTAGATATGAACAAGAATGCATTATTATTATTGAAATTCCTGCTACTACTGATAATTAGTTTCATGTTATGACTGTTAACTGATGGCCAATATTATAAATTTATAAATATATTCTTTGTTAAAGAATATATTTATTCTTTGTTTTATATATATATATATATATATATATATATAAGTATTATTGATATTGTACAATAATAAAATAATTATGTTTATTATAATAGAGAAGAGACCTGTGGAATTTTTAAAATATTGCATTTATATTATGCATATTATGCATTTATTTGATCAAAAATACAGTAAAAACTGAAATATTGTGAAATGTCACTAAAATTTTCTATTTTAAATTATTTAAAATGTAATTTATTAATTGTGATTGCAAAGCTGAATTTTCTGCATCATCACTCCAGTCTTCAGTGTCACATGATCCTTCTAATAATCATTCTAATATTATGATTTGCTCCTCAAGAAACATTTCCTATTATTATCAATGTTGGAAACGGTTGTGCTGCTTTATATATGTGCGAAAACCATTAATATTGATGAATAAAAAGTAAAAAAAAAAAACATTTATTTTTTGACAGCAATCTTATAATATGTCTTTACTTTCACTTAAATGAAGGTATTAATTTCTTCTAACTGACCCCAAACTTTTGTATGGTAGTGTATGTAGAAAATGATTTGCCTGGGACAGCGGTCAAATATAAAGTTATTACTGTAAGTTATTCCAAAAAAATATTTCAATGCCACAATTGACAGAATCATGTATTCCAAAAGCTGTAGTAAAATAGAGAAACTGAGAAAATAGCACACGCATATACAGAATGAATGAAAAGATGTGTTTTGTATGTGGTCATAGTGAGACTCTATTTACATGCTTTTTCCTTTGTCATAAATATACATAAGCACATAGACATTGACATGTTTATGTTATTGCTTATGCGGACATGTCTGGTTTTGGTGCTTCAGACAGATCTGAGCTACATGATTATGATTTCATTCAGGCAAAAATGGTAAGAGGACATCCTAAAATAGGATTTGTGTCCTAAATGGAAAGTTTTTTTTTTTTTTTTTCAAAAAAAAAAAAACAGGAGGG